GAGGCCCGTGGCCATATTAGAAAGGAAGGTGAAGATTCTACGGAACAAGGAGATACCCTTGGTGAAGATACAATGGGAACATCGTAGGGGGTCCGAGTGGACGTGGGAGCCAGAGGCAGAGATGCGGGAGCACTATCCGGAGTTATTCGTCGAGGCAGACTTCAAGGACGAAGTCTAGTTCAAGTGGGGAGAATTGTAACGCCTTATTCTCAGGTATCGATTTTATATAAGAATTTTCTTGATTTCAAGGTCTACTCGACGAGTTGGTTGCCCTACTCGTCGAGTAGCAGCGGGTTGGTCCGCGTGTTTTAGTGACCTACTCACCGAGTCCAAGAAGGGACTCGACGAGTAGGAGCTGGCAGATTAAACCCTAAATTTCGGGGATTTTCACCCTATTTAAGGACCACTTATTTCCCTTATCCTCTCTTACTGCCTCCCTTGAGTTCAGAAACCCTAATTAGTGGTTGCTCTCTATAAATTGTGTGCTCTTTAGCTTGGAAGAGGGATCCTTGGAGTAAAAGCTTGGAGTTCAAGAAGTTTGAAGCAAGGGGCTGTTGTAGATCCGGATTCTTCTCTGTCTTGGCATAATTTTGGAGGTAACAAGTTGTTACCTTGGCTCTCTCTTAGTTAGATCTATTCATTTATGGGTTGGGATTTTAGGGTTTTGTGGTGGTTCTCCGATTTGGGCCGAGATCTGAGGTTGCAACCTCAGATCTAGACTCCTTCAGCTCCTCTTTATCATAAAGTTCCAGTCTTTGTTGAGCTATGGCCTTTCCCTTGCCCTAGGCCACTCCTTTAGCTTGTTTTGGGCCATTATCATCTTGCATGCACGTAAAGTTTTCAACTTTACGTGATAAACATGCCCTTGGCGCTTAGATCTGCAGCTTGGAGGCTTTGCATGGCTTTAAAAGAATCTATATGGATGAAGGATTGAAGGGACTCGGCGAGTCGCAAGGTCGACTCGGCAAGTCATATGAAGACGGTCATCGAACTCAACGAGTTGGATGAACAACTCGGCGAGTCCGATGAAGATTTCCGTAGGCTCGGCGAGTCAGATGAGAGACTCGGCGAGTCGGCTAGGGTTTTCCCAACCTTTGGACATGTATGAACGCGACGAGTTGTAAGGGGAAAACTCGCCAAGTTGGCCGAGGAGTTACGGCCACTGACACTAGGAACTCGACGAGTCATTCAAGTGACTCGGCGAGTTGGTAAGCATGAAAGGAACTCGGCGAGTGACTGGTTGTACTCGATGAGTTGAGGTCAACATGGACTGTTGACTTTGACAGTTGACCTGGACCTTGACCAAGGGTTGATTTTTGGACTTCTGGGACATTTTGGGAAATTGGGAATTTACAAGCATGGTTCTATGGTGCATTTAGGTGGTGGAGTAGTACCGGCAATCCAAGAGCTTGAGTTTATCTTCGAATCGACAGTACGAGGTGAGTTATCCTCACTATACCAATGGGTCTAAGGCACCAAGGCCGACCCTTTATATATTTGTATCTGGATTATGGCATGATATGTTTATCGATTTCATCCTAGTAGTTAAGATGGTGGCATGCTTATGCTTAGTGACCTGGTTAGGTCAGTGTCTTGGTTATAGGATGATGCTATTTTAGTGACCGGTTAGGTCTGTATCCCGGTTATTGGGATGTTGCTATGATTAGTGATCTGATAGATCGATTTGACTGTTATATGATATGAGATAACGTATGATATTTATGTGCACATGTTTGTTTGATTGGGGGTTGCGTTGAGGCGGTCCTGCTTTGTGCTGTAGGCCAACATACCCGGTGAGCGGTCCGGATAGGCTGTAGGCCCTGCGAGGCGGTCCAGTCATGCCGAAGGCTCGGAAGCGGTCCAGATAGGCTGTAGGCCCTGTGAGGCGGTCCAGTCAGGCTGAAGGCTCATTATGCATGCTGATCTGTAATTGTTATTTGTTGTGGTTATTTCGGTATGGAGTTGACATTTTGGGGAGCTCACTAAGCTTTCGGGCTTACAGTTCAGTTTATTGTTTCAGGTACATCAGGGGATTGCGGCAAGGCGAAGTCATGATCGTACAGCTCCTCATGAGTTGTTTATGTTTCTGGGAAAACTCTGATATTAGTTATTTTGAAAACAAACTTTGTAATGATGAATGGTTTTAAATGCTTTGAAAAAGTATTAATTTGGTATGAATTTTTTTTTGGGTGTTACAGCTTCCTTCGGGTGCTAGGGGGTTTACCTAGGCTTAGGGGGGTTTTGGGGGCTTAGAGAGAGAAACTAGAGAGAGAAAGTGAAGTTGGGAAGGTGTGAAGAATGAGGGAATTCGGCACCTCTATTTATAGGCTGGAATCCTACTCTACTCGTCGAGTAGGAGGTTCTACTCGTGAAAGCCTTGGCCCATATTCAGCCACGTCACCCGATTTCGCACAGCACCCTGCCGACTTCTAAACCCCATAACTTTCGCATAAGAGATCCGTTTTCGACGTTCTTTATATCCACGCATAGGTAAAAACAAGATCTACAACTTTCATTTAGACTCCGGTTGCTAATTCTCGACCGATGTTAAATTTAATAGTAGGAGGAGATTAGACTGTTAAATGATCGCGAAGAATTCGTAACTCCTTCATACGGACTCCGTTTTCGTATGTCTTTTTATCGTTGAGTTCCTATTAATGAGATTTTCAACTCTCATTTAGGTTGCATAGGACAAAAACCGCTCGAACTAAAATTCGAGTTTCGGGTCGTGCACTGCTATGCCAAATCTTAGAAAATTCATAACTTCCTCATACAAAGTCAGATTTGGGCGTTCTTTTTTGTATGTTCTCGGTTTAACGTATACTACAACTTTTTTTTAGATTACTAAGGACAAAAATTCATCTATCGTAAATTCACTATTTACGTCTCCCGGTGTCGTGCCAATTTTGTCGAAAAACTTCGACGGGCCATAACTTCTTCGTTATAACTCAGATTTCGGCGTTCTTTATATGTACGGAACCCTTGAGACATATTCTACAACCTGGTTAAGATTATTTATTCTAAATAATCTTTTGTCGAAAATTCATTTTCGACCCTTATTATCTCTAAATTGACTAGACCGGATCTATGGGCGTTACAGATCCCCTGATGTACCTGAAACAATAAACTGAAACTGTAAGCCCAAGGCTTAGTGAGTTCCCCCAAAATACCGAAACACTGCACATAATACATATACAAATAACAACATGTACTGGGTCCACAACTTTACAGACTGGATTACCCCTGGACCCACAGTGTGAGTCTGGATTGCCTTCCGGGCCTACAGCTCACATTTGGATTGCCATCGTGCCCACAGTACGAGTCTCCCTCAGCTCATATCTGGAATGCTCCCGAGCCCACAGTACGAGTCTGGCATGCCCCACCTGGCCCTCAGCTTGTATCTGGATTGCTCCCGGGTTTGTTGGTTACCGCACGGAGCAATGTCACCTCAACCCACCCCACATAATATATCAACATATAACATAACTACTGAGCATGAAGATAATCATATAACAACACAGGTAGTCCTACAAACCTACCTAACTGGCATAACCACTAGCATGCAACACTAACTCATACTCGACATCTAACACTGCTATGATAACATATCCAATTGGCCGGCCTTGGTGCCTTAGACCCCTTAGTATAGTGAGGTAACTCACCTCGCACTGTCGACTCGAAGATAAACTTAAGCCCTTGGATTGTCGGTACAATTCCACCACCTGAATGCACCATAGAACCATGTTTGTAAATTTCAAATTTCCCAAAATGCCCCAGAAGTCCAACAGTCAACCCTTGGTCAAAGTCAAAGTCAACTGTCAAAGTCAACAGTCCATGTTGACCTCAACTCGTTGAGTACAACCAAGCACTCACCGAGTTCCTTGCATAACTAGCTAACTCGCCGAGTCACTTGAGCGACTCGTCGAGTTCCTAATGTCAGTGGCCACAAACCCCTTGGCCAACTCGTCGAGTTTCCCCTTTACAATCGTCGGGTTCATACGTGTCCAAAGGTTGGGAAAACCCTAGCCGACTCTCCGAGTCGTTCGACTGACTCGCCGAGCCTAAGGCAATATTCATCGGACTCGTCGAGTCATCCATACTGTGGCTTTTTAAGCCATGCTAAGGCTCCATATTGTAGATCTAGCTTCCCAAGGCATGTTTATCACGTAAAGTTGCAAACTTTACGTGCATGCAAGGCCCTAAAGTCTTAAAATGACAAAATAAGATTGAAAATGGAGGTTTTGCACCTAGGGAGAGTCTCATCTTTGCTAAAGTTGGAAGCTTTATGGACTTAAAGGACCAAGAGAGTTCAGATCTGAAGTTACAACTTCAGATCTTAGCTTATACACAAGAAAAGCTTCCAAACATACTAGAAAAGCCCTAAAATTTACCCAAAAGAGATCTAGAAATGAAATGAGTTCAAGATAGCGATTTGATACCTTCCAAAGGATGCCACTAAGATAGATTTCAGATCCCACACGTTCCCTTGCTTCTAGATACTTGCTCTCCAAGCTCTCCTCTCCAAAGATCCTCTTCCAAAGCTTAAGAATATGCAAATGGAGCACACTCACACGAATTAGGGTTTCTAGATTATCAAGAGGCTGTAAGGGGAGGCTGAGGAGGCCAATGATCCTTTAAATAGGGTGCAATACCCCGGAATTTAGGTTTCATCTTCCAGCTCCTATTCGTCGAGTCCCTTCTCGGACTCGGCGAGTAGGTCACTAAAACTCATGGACCAACCCACTGATACTCGACGAGTAGGGCAACAAACTCGTCGAGTAGACCGTGAAATCAAGAAAATTCTTATTTAAAATCAATACCTGAGAATCGGGGCGTTACAATTAGATGAACCCACAAACCATCTTGAGCTAAGAGTTGTTCTTTGGCTGGAAGAATACTTATGCAAATGGAAGAAAACTTTAGTTGTTGTCTCACGCAATAGAGACTTCTTAAACACTGTTTTTAACGAAATAATCCATCTCCATGACTTAAAACTCCACATGTATTGTGGAAATTTCGATGATTTTGAAAGTGGGTATGAACAACGTCGCAAAGAAATGAATAAAAAATTTGAAACTTATGACAAACAAGTCAAAGCTGCTAAAAGAGATGGGAACCAAAAGCAACAAGAGAAAGTCAAAGAAAATGTGAAGTTTGTAGTCAAAGAAGCGAAAAAGAAATCAAAAGGGAAAGTGGATGAAGATGAAGAAATCCCAAAAGCCCGACAGAAATGGAGATATTACACAGTCGAGTTTCATTTTCCCGAACCCACCAAGTTAACTCAACCATTGTTACAACTAATTGATGTTAGTTTTAGTTATCCGGAAAGAGACGATTTTCGATTATCTGATGTGGATGTTGGGATTGATATGGGGACACGTGTCGTTATTGTAGGCCCTAATGGTGCTGGAAAGTCAACTTTACTAAACTTACTTGCAGGTGATTTGAATCTGACTGAAGGTGAACTGAGGAGAAGTCAGAAGCTAAGAATTGAGAGATACTCGCAACATTTTGTTGACTTGTTGACCATGGGTGAAACCCTGGTTCAGTATCTACTCCGGTTACATCCGGAACAAGATGGGTTTAGCAAGCAAGAAGCGGTTAGTGCTAAACTTGGTAAATTTGGGTTGCCAAGTCATAATCATCTGACACCAATTGCTAAATTGTCAGGGGAAAAAAAGCGCGTGTTGTTTTTACATCGATATCGATGTCGAAACCGCATACTTTGTTGCTTGATGAGCCCACAAATCATTTGAATATGCAGGGTATTAATGCGCTTGCGGATGCGCTTGATTATTTTAGTGGTGGGGTTGTTCTTGTGAGTCATGACTCGAGGTTAATTTCTAGGGTTTTTGATGAGTTTAGTGGTGGCATTGTTCGTGTCAGAACCAACAAATAAAGGGGTACGATATACTCCAAAAGAATCCCACTATATTGCACTAAAAGGTAGTACAAGTCAAGCAGGGTCGATCCACAGAGACACGGGATAATTAGGTGCTGTTTGTTTTTTCGAAGCGAAAATTCATGAAGTCTGCGGACCACCTCTGCAATCCTCTGCAGCAGAAGAGGTGCAACAAACGGCTGCAGCCCATAATAAGAAGCATGTTTGTTTTTTAACATCTGCAGACTGCTGCAGTAAACTGAAATTTAAATAAACTAATTTTATAAACTTAAAATAGTTCTCAACACCGAAATTTTAATAATTCTAGTCTTAAAACATTGAAAGAGTACTAAAAATAACATGTAAAAAAACAAAAATATAAAACTTTTTTTAAAAAAAAAACTTACAAAAAATATAAAAGAAGCTAACAGCTTTATTCTAGAAAAAAAAACTAATTTTAAAAAACATAAAAAAGAAAATAAAAAAAATTAAGAAAGTATTGCAAACGATGTGTACAAAGTTCGTAAAAAATTACACACGTTAAAAAAGATGAAACTGAAACTGAAACTGAAAATATTATTAACGGAAACGGTAAAAAAATTAAAAAAATCAAAGCTTTTTTTTTAAAAATTAAGTTAAAAAAAATTTGTGGAAACTATAATAAGAAATTGTATCAAATCCGTAAATAAAAGCTTTTTTTTTAAATGTTTAAAAAAAATAAGTTATACCAAAATTCTAAAAAAAACTTCAAAAAATTGAAAGCTGAAGAGGTTTGAAGAGGCAATTCAAGTGCTGCGCCACGCAGCACACGCGCAGAGGTTTTGCAGTCTGAAGTCTTCCAAAAAACAAACTGCTGCGAGAGGGAAAGTGTTGCACGTGTGCTGCGCCGCGCAGCAGAAAGTGGTTTGAAGAGGTTTTTCTAAAAAAACAAACAGCACCTTAGTCTATACCTCTTTGCGCAAGGTACTATGGTCACCAACAGTAAAGAGGGGGGTTTAGAATGAAATAATTAAAACAAACAATTAAAAACACAAGTAATCAACAAAAAGAGAGAATTAAATTCAGAAATGGTAAGGACTCCAACCTCATGTATGACAACTTAGCAATGTGATTCCAAGATAACATGATATTTGCTCAATTCTATCTAAGTTGGTACTTGAAAGTGTTAACAAGCTCTAACACTTCCCATTCACCACATTAATTAACCAAAACAAGCTCTTTGATTAACCCTAACCTTACTAACCTAATCTAAACACGCTCTTAGAATTAGATTGAAATATTGCATTAAACTTTACGTGAATGTTCCCAACAACACCCAGTACTCCTCACAAGCTCAGGAGCGTAAGAGTGTGTGAATAAGATTTACACTAAATTCATTCAATGGAAATCAGTTTGTTTAGTGCTTGTTACTTGTTCAATTTCACAAAACAATTACGGATTTTGTAAAAGAGATAACTTGAATGACCTAACCCTAATTCAAATGGCCAATAAGAATCACAATTAGAATCAAACATTCGATTAAATCAAAATCAAATTCACTAGATAGAAATTAAAAGCAAACATCAAGTCATATGATTGAAATCACAACTAAGAAGTCAAGACATGAAGTTGGAGAAACTAGGGTTCTAGCCACACATGGCTAGAACAAGATCACAAGAATAAAAGATGGAAATAATGTGCAATTACAACTTACAAATAAGAGAAATAATGTTTCCAAATGATAAATGATCAAATCATTGCAAAAACCTTCGAAATCCCCTCTCAAAATGTGCTCTGATATGTTGTGTGTATCTCAAAATGGCCCTCAACCCGTAATATGAAAGATAGGAAAAACTGACAAAAGTTGGTTTTTGGGTCGAACACAGTACGTGTTAAAATAGGCTAAACTGACATGGCCCGTGTTCAGCAGCCAACACGGCCCGTGTTGATTTGCACTAAACTGACACGGCCCGTGTTCAACATGGTCAACAGCTCCCATTTTGGTCAACACGGCCCGTGTTGATTTTGCAGTGTAAATCCAACACGGCCTGTGTACCCCTCTGACTCCGAATCCAAACTTAATTTTTCCAACTTTTTCGTTCTTCGCTCGATCATCCCGAAATCTTCACCAATGCTTCCCGACACCTCCCAAAGCGCATTCCAAGCTCCGGTTTACCTGAAAAAGACATGAAAGTGTGAAAATAAGGTTGTTCTAGAGACTAACGTGAATATGATGAAATGCAAGAAAAAAGGAAGAACAATTATGCTAAATAGATGCATGAAATGGGACTAAAAGGTGTGCAAAAAGGTGCACAAATTGCACCTAACAAATCTCCCCAAGCTTGGACCTTTCTTGTCCTCAAGAAAGAAGAAGAAAGATCTAGACCGGGGAAAATAAAAGAAAAGAAAAGAAACAAAAATCAAAATCAAGAACCTTTCGAAACTTAATGCAAAAAATCAAAACAATCATGAAAAAGATTCAACCCAATTAACCTTGTTTTTGTAGCATAGTTGAGAATGTATCTGTCGTGCCTTGAGTCAACTTGGCATTGGTCTCAAAATATTATATGACAATAGAAATAAGACTTTGGCCACTCCCTAACGCAACTCAACAGGATAAAAGATCACAACACTTGTTCCCTTTTAATAGCATCAAGTCAATTCACGGAACACATTATGGTCTTACTCTCGTGAAAATGTATGTGACAAAAATATGCTCAATCATCTTTGTTTTACAAAATGTAACAATGACTGACTCCAGCTATTTGTTGATTAACAACAATCATTTTTCTAAAAAATATTTTCTAAGAATTCCCTAAAATTTACCCAGATTGGTTACAAATTTCAAACCACTTACACTAGTCAAAGTAATTAACAGTCAGTCCCAATGTCATAAGTTCAAGTCCAAGTCCAAGGGAATCTTTTTGCAGCCAAGCATTTTTCCTAAATATATTATTCAATTAAACTATAAAAATAAATATATACAAATTATCTAATTATGTTTTTCCTACAAATAAAGCTCATGGCTTTCTTTGAAATCCATGTAACGGACTTCCAACCAACACATCCAGACCATATGACCTTAGTGTGCTAGATTTAAAGAGATCCTGCGGGTTTACTCTCCCGAACCTCAAAGGTCACAAATTAGCTTTATTTGGATACCTATACATATCTAATTTTTTTTTTTGTTATTATTAAGTTCATGACTTTCTATGGACCCGTGTAGCGAACTTTCAACTCAATCAGTCCCAAACAATTCAGCTTTAGGCAATTAGATGTAGAACACCCCTCGGAGTTTACTTATTCGAGTTCCAAAGGTCACAGATTAACTTAATAATTTTTTTTTATTTTTTTTATTTATTATTATTTTTTTTTCTAGGCTTATTTCTTTATATTTCCGTCCTTGACTTTTCTATTATGGGGACATCTCACGGTCTATTACCGTGAGGGGCTTCTTAGACATTTTTCGAGGGACTGAAGTCAACATGCAAAGACCCGTAAGTATAGTTGGAAAGTATGTCCCCAAGCAAGGTATATAAAAGGGAATTAGTAGAAAAGACTTTTTAGAGTGCTGGAAGGTTCGGGACACTGAGATTTTATATTCTTTTTATGTTTTCTTGAATTTGGCATTTTGGGATCAATTGAGCACTTACTACTCATAAGACCGGTCACGTGTCCCAAAGATTGACTCATACCTGTCGTTATGCTCTGGTGTTGACAACCTTTTCATTTTTCTGTTTTGCACGAGTAGCTTCGGGAGGTGTGTTCATGTGCAATTAGCTTGCTTTGAGATTTTTCAATAAAAAGAACAAGTCTAATCTCAAGACATACGACTCACTTACCAATTCAACTGTTTTTAGAAGATTAGGCTGCCTTGGGTTGGATCAAAACAAACATGGAATAAAAATCTTTTTTTTTGTTTTTTTTGTTTTTTTTTGTTTTTTTTTTGTTTTTTTGAAAATGCATGAATGAACCTAGTGTACAACTCTACCCCTCCCCAAGCTTAAAGATAAGCATCGTCCCCGATGCTCGGAGAGGGCGGAACAACCTATTACGGAGGAGGAGACGGGTGGTGCCCGGTTGGGTAAGAGTCCAAACAATCACAAGTGCACACAAATTGAATTTTTAAGCAAAATATGGACGGTTAAAGATATGGAAACAATTTACCGAATCATTCTTGGAACCTATGAAATTGTGGTGAGAACCTCCTCTTCATCTTCCCCAAGCTATCCGTGAAATATTTTTGGAGCCCGAGATTCATTTTCTAGGCATAAAAACATGTTGCAACACATTTGGAACATTAAAAACTAAAAACTTCAAAGAAACGGAAATGTTTTTAAAGAAAAAGACAAAAATACCCCCGGGTTGCCTCCCGGTTAGCCACCCTTATTTTAAGCCGTTGGCTCGACTTGGCCCCAGAATATGCTTCATTCTAAGTATGTGGACCTTTCCAACACATCAACCTTCTCGCCACTTCCTTTAATGGAACCTTCACCCTTTCTTTGGCTTTCTTTTTACGCACAAACCAAAAAGGGCTTAAACCCTTAATATCGGAGACTGTCCACTTGATCCTTCTTTGGTATTTATTAAGCAAGGTTATTAAATCCTTCTTTTCCTTATTCAATAGTTTATTTGAGTTGATGACTGGTTGAGTGCTCTCCTTCTTGACATGTATATTCTTTAAAGGGTCCGGTGGAGTTTTGCTCCCGAATCTTGTGCTTGTTCCACCGGTGGAAGAAATTTGGCTTTCGTAGTAGGTAATTCTACTTCTCTTCCATCAATCCGCATGTGCTTATCATCCTTGAACTTCAAAATCTCCAGCACCTCCTCTTTTATACCGCACTCCTTTGCAAGTTCTTTGGCTTTGTCCCTGTCTATTTTTTGTGAAAAGACTAA